TGGTCAACGTCTTCGCGATACAGGGCATGAAAGAGTAGGGTCTTAAGAATACTAGGACGTCGAGGGAGGCCTTTTACGGCGACTAGATTGGACACAGTGGCCACCCAAAGTCAGCAAAATCAGCAAATTTCCGATATTCGACTACTTTTTGACCAACTTGGTCGGAAAATCGTTGCGGTCAAAGCCAAAATCGTTGTGGTCAACGTCTTCCCGATACAGGGCATGAAAGAGTAGGGTCTTAAGAATACTAGGACGTCGAGGGAGGCCTTTTACGGCGACTAGATTGGACACAGTGGCCACCCAAAGTCAGCAAAATCAGCAAATTTCCGAGATTCGACCACTTTTTGACCAACTTGGTCGGAAAATCGTTGCGGTCAAAGCCAAAATCGTTGTGGTCAACGTCTTCCCGATACAGGGCATGAAAGAGTGGGGTCTTAAGAATACTAGGGCGTCGAGGGAGGCCGTTGACCGCAAGTAGATCGGACGCAGTGGCCACCCAAAATCCTATATATACTAGGACTCTTTGACCAACTTTGTGACGTTACTTGTCCCAAACCCGAATAGCCCCGGCGCTGTCACCACGGCGCGGCCCATGGCACCGCGACACGCATTGGCCAACGAAGCGGACGGCGGCGGGCGACGCCGAAAGCGGCGGTGTGATTTGCAAGGCAGATGCCTATCGGCGCCTTTTATCGGCGAGCTGGTGGCGATGGTATCCCCGGCGCATCCCGACGGTATCTCGGCGTCATTAGCGAGCGTGTTGGCCCATGGCGGGGCCGCGGAGGGGGCGCGCGGGGGGCGGGGGGCTCCCTCGTTCAAGTCTCCGCCAAGGGTGGGTGCCTTGCCTAGGGGGTGCAGTGGGTGGAAGTCATCAGAACGGCAGCGGGATCCGACTGGCAGTGCGCTGGGCCGGCGGGGGGGCGAGCGTGGTGCCGTCGGACTGCTCGCCCCGCTGGCCGTGGCCGAGGCCCTGCTGCCGGTGCTGGCGGTGCTGCCTTGCTGCAGGTGCGCGGCCGGCCAGCAGCACCGCGGCAGCGCATTCACGCCGGACAGAGTCCCCGCAATCTGGTGCCGCAATCAGCACAATAAATTCGCAGGGTGTCAGGCCGGCGCGCGAAGACGCCGAGGACGACGCCGAGGACGGGGCCGCTGCCGCAGGGGCCGCAGGGCTGGCGAGGCGGCGGGTGCTGCGGGGCTTCCTCGTAGCGTCTCTATCCGCGGCGGGGCCCTTCGGGGAGGCGTCCGGGCGCGGCGGCGTCGCGGAGACGGCCGCCTGGCCGATGCTGCCCCGATACGCCGCAGATATGGACCGCTGATTGGACCGCGGCCGGTCTAGCGCACTGCAAGCTCGGCAAGCACTGCAAGCGAATTGTCAACAAAGCCCCAGCCGCGCGGTGGAGTGGCGTTCCGTGTCGCCGACCTGCGGACCCCGGTTTCGGCAGGGCTGCGCGAACGGGCCGCGGGGTGGCGGAGTGGGCCGCACTATGCGCCTCGCCTAGTATTGACAGGTGGCGGTGGTGGTCGCGTTGTCGCCCTTCCCCCGCGGATCCGCCAACGGCCCGCCCGCTCAACTTTCAACCGGACATGCACTTGCATTTCGGCCGCCCCGCCTTTATTTGGCCACTATCAATAATTCCGGCAGGCGCGTGTCGTTGTGACGCGCGCTGCTGGCCAGCTGCCTCCGTCGCGCTGTCTCTCTCGCACTCGCGGGGCGTCCCGCGGGGGTGCGAGAGAGATGCGCCGCGGTTCGGAATGACGCTGCTGTCGAACGTGTGACCCCGGCGTTGCACTCTGCCGCGCCTCTCCGCGTGACAGCGCCTTGATTGATAATCCGCTCGGACAGAGAGTGCAGTGCAGTGCAGTGCGCGCGCAGTGCATTTTCCCATCGTCGCCGCGCTGCCCGGCGGCTGTCCGGTGGCTGCCCGCGACGAGGCGCGCTTTTTGCCGGCAGGACTTCATCAAGTACCTGCCGGCGCTCGCGGAGACTGCTGGAGACGGCGTCGTCCTCTCTCCGGCCACGCTGCGCTGGACGGTTCGGCTGCCGTCCTAGAAAAACCGCGCCGCCGCGTTCGGCTGTGTCACCGTCGTGGAAAACGGCCGCTCGCCATTTCCTTGGTCGTTTTTAGTATATTTTTTTTTGTCGCTTGCTATCGCCGGCCGCGTAATGTATGAACGGCGGGGACGCCGAGGACGCCATCAATGAAATAATTGACAAGGAACACGGCGGCCGCTGACGGTTCGCGCGTTGCATCGCGAATAGTTAAAGAGGGCGGGGAAACAAAAACACTAGCGGAGAAATGAAGCAGGCGGTGGGTTTGGAATTTCGGCTAGTGCCCCCTCTCTTCCTCCGCCTTAATTGACAGCAGTGATTCGCTGACAGCTAGTGCGCACCGCGCGCCGCCCCCACGGATGAAAAATTCAGCGTTACTTTTGCTGCTTCGGCATGCATCAGCGCGGCGTAGTGCGGCGGCTCGCGTCGGTCGTTCGGCGGCCGTGTTGTTCTCCTGGAGGGTCCGCGCGAGAATGGGGTATAATTTGGATTAATTTCGCTGCCCCCGGACCGAGGCGGGCGCGACGGTCCCTCCAAAGCCCGCCCTGCCCTGCCCTGCCCTGCCCCGCCCCGGGGCGGACGGCACGGACGGGGATGGAGGTGTCGTGTCCTGGCACGGCCGCCGCGCGACGCTGCTGCACTGCGCGCAGCTCGGCCGGACGGGGCGGGGACCGGCGAGGGGACCGGCGAGGGGACCCTGGTTGGGCCCGGCAGGCCCGGCACGCCGGACAGGTCGCTGGAGCCGTGCCAACCAAGGGCACAAGACATCCAGCCGATATTGCAAGTATTTCTTTGGCGGGCATGAGGGCGCCGTACTGGGCCTCTCCACGGCCAGACTTGGCGGGAATTACTTTCCACGCTGCTCCTTGCGCTGGAACGCGCCGTGTCGCGATGTGTGTGTGTGTGTGTGTGTGAGGGCGCAAGACGAGAGGCAGGTACCTGGCGAGGGGGAGGAATCCCGCTGCCGATCGTCCCTCTCAGGCTCCAGGCTCCAGAGGCGGGCTCCGGGCTCCAGGCTCCAGGTCCCTGGAATCCACACTCTTGCTGGCGATGTTATCGGTCCGGGTCGTCGCCGCTGGCTGCCCGGCTGCCGCTGGCGGGTCCTGGCGGGGCCGTGCGGGGCCGGGGAGGAGGGTGTCCTCCGTCTGGCCGCGCTGGGCTGCCGGGCTGCTGGTCCGGGCGGTGTGAAGCGCCATTACGTTGCATTACACCTCGTTGGACCCGCCACCTCGGCCGCCCCGCCGCCGTCCGCAGCGGTTAGGCCCGCAGTCCGTCGCCAGGCTGTCTTCGCCGGCCTAGGCGCTGACGCGCTGACCGCGAGGGGCGGCGGTGCGCGTCTGCTCGCCGTCGTCGGCGTGGTCGGCGTGGCGGTTGGCGATATCGGCGACCGGTGGCGCCGCCTACCGGCGATGGTGTGCGTGATTGCGCGGATGCCGCGCCGTGCCAAGCCTGCCCCAGGCCCCCGTGTACTGCCCGCGGCGGCCCGGCCGGACTCCGCCACGCCGCCCTGGACGGCCCGCCGGCCCGCCGGCCTCCGCGACGCGGCCAAAGACGACGCGCCGACGGAAGCCACGTTAGCCGTGTAGATGCGGCCCCCGATAAGGGGCTGCCGGGGCACCCACGGGCACCATGGGCACCACGGGCACCGCGCATTAAGCCAATCTGTTCCAATTTCAGGGGCCTTTTCGGAGGGCTCTTCAGGGCCGTCGACGCCGGGGCGTGGACGGGGGCCGTGGGGCGACGCCGTGGTCGCTGCCCCGGCCGGCGGGCCTTTTCCGCACTGCAGCCGTTTGTTGAACGTCCATCCTTAAATCTTAAAACCTCGTCCTCCCGCGCCGCCAAGGTCGACCAAGGTCGACCAAGGTCAACCAACCGAGCGGCCGCGGCCAGTCCAAGTTGATGCTGCCGCTCCCCGTGGACCCCGTCAACTCGTCCGAGAGTGCCATTCGGCGCCGCGAGAGCAGAGAGAGACGGACAAACAGACCCGGGGCGCTCGCCGTGAACCATAAACGCCGGGCAGTTAGGCGTTACTCCGCGAAGCGAGCGGGGGTGCTCGTTTCGGCCGGGAGTTGCTCTATTTGCCCGAGCTGTGGCTGCGGGGGCCACTAACGTTTCCCGCCAAAACGAAAATCCGAACGACAATTCGCGAATATTCGAACAGGGGGTTCTTTCTGCTCGTGACGGCGGACGAATCTGAAAACGGTGGCGCCATGTATCAAACAGGGAATGCTGGCATCGGTTGTATATTGGTTCTGCTATTCGCCATACATGTGCTGCCGTAGGATTGGCCTTCCCTCTCCCCCTGCCCCCTCCCCGCGCTGTGCTTGGCGCTTACCGTACCGATCGTAATCTAAACCCTCGGGTTCCTGCCGAGCCTCCCCCCCCCCCCCCCCTCCCCGCTGCCACACACCGCACCAGAGGAATACATTTCCATCTAATTTGGTTCCCATCGAAACGTTATTATGGGCGTCGAACGGAATGAAAATTGCGGCCACTTAGGCACAATTTGAAAGGTCGCGCGCGTTACGGTCGGACCAGCGCTTCGTCGCGCCGTCTCTCTCGCGCGCCTCCGGGACGCCGCCCGGGTGCGAGAGAGACGGAGCGACGCGAGGGCTCTGTTCGGAAACGGCCTGCACGGCGGACGGTGGCGGCGCTTCGCTGGGAGCTTCGCTGCTTGGCTGCATAGTGTAGTGGCCGCCTGGCCGGGTGAAAGGTGGATAATGTCGGTACGCCTAAACGCAGCGCCCTCCACCTAACCTAACCTAACCACCACACTGTCCGATTTGGGTTGGGACCGCCATAATTATCGACTGCTACCGCGGCGTCACGGTGCCGCTGGTGGATCAAGTGCACCAAGTGTGTGAGTGAGTGAGTGTGTGTGTGAGTGCGGCTAACTGATGTGTCCTCTCTCTGTTCCATGTGCTGCCGTGACGCTGTTGGCGCTACACAGGACCCCACTTCCGTAAGTGCTGCCCCGCCACTGCGTGCCACTGCGTGCCACTGCGTGCGCCGCGAGTTTGATTTGTGAAGTCGGCGCGTTTGGCCGCGAGGTGGCGCTGCTGTCATGCCGTGTGCCCTCCACTGTGTGCCCCATCCATCTGGGCTCCCTTTTCTCTCTCGGATTCGCTCCGTCCCTCTCGCACCCGCGGGGCGGCCCACAAGGCCCCGCAAGGCCCCGCGAGGGGCGCGAGAGAGACAGAGGGGCCGCCGCGACGGCCGACGACGGCGACGCCGCCGTCTGGACAAATCGTCTGTCAGCGTGGCGGGGCGGGGCCGCGCGGGCCCCCGCTGTATCCGTAATCCGACCGGATGATCCCGGCGACAATCCCATGCCGTCGTCCGTCGGGCGGAGGACGGTCCCGGCCTCGGTCCCGGCCTCGGTGGAGGCGAAGGGAACGCGGGGTGCGCGACGACGGGTACCCCTGCCCCGTGCGCCGGGGAGGCGCGTAGCGTGCCGTAGCGCGTAGGAGTGCTGCTGGCTTTATGAATGGGGCCGTGTCGCCACGGCTGTGTGTGTGTGTGTGTGCGTGTGTGTGCAGGAAGTCGCCCGCGCCCTGGACTACATCCCCGCGCACCCCAAAGCCCCAAAGCGACCGACTGCCGGCCGCCGCGGCGGTCCTTGGTTCTTGGCTGGCGCAGGCTGGCGCGCCGTACTAAATATTTATACCACGGCGTTCGCCTCGCCGGCGGGCTGGCCGCGCTCGCCGCTCTGCTGAGAGCCGCGGCGGCGCGGTCCGCAAAAATGTTATTAATTATCATTGTTCCTTTATGCCTTGCCGGCCGGCCGCGGATGCGCGATCCACTCGGCCTGATACTGCCGGCCTGTTTTTGTCGGCGTCGTCGGCACGTCTTCATCGAGTCACTCTGTCTCTCTCTATCACTCGCTCGCCGCGGCGGTAGGCAGCCCGCGACACGGCGCCGTGGAGCCCTTGAACGGCCCGCTGTGTCCGTCTCTCTCGCGGCCGCGCGGGACGACTCAAGCGCGAGGGAGACGGCGCAATCTCGGATAGAGGCTTGGCTAATTAATTAGATGTTAATGCGCCGAGTCGTGAGCGGTGCGCGGCGCCGTGCGCTGCAGACTCAGCAAAGCCGTGTCTCGACCGGCGACCCGCTGCCGCCCCGTGCCGAAGGGCCGTCTCCTTCCCGGGCCGAAATGGAGCGGATTTCAGACGGCAGGACCCGTCCGGGGAACACAGGCCCCTCTCGCGGTGGGGGCGTGCCGGGGCGGGGCGTGCCGCGGTGTGCGCCGTCCAGTACGTAACGTGACAGTGACAGGGTAGTGGCCGACGACAGCGAGACGCAATGCGCGTGTACCTGCTGCCGGCTGCAACTTTTTGCCTCCGGATCTGTAATCACTTTTTTCTGATTTATTTTTTCGACTGAATTTCTTTGGGCAGTCCGTCGTCGTCGTCGTCCTGGTTCTCGGCGACGTGCTGGGAGTGCATCCCCGCTGGGCGTGCCGTGCCGCCCGCCCGGGCCCACTTCCAGGCCGTCCAGGCCTTCCAGGCTGCGGCGGCCCGGGGTGGCCGCGGAGAATGTCGCCGAGTATGAAAACACTGGTAGACGAGTTGTCAGCCGGGCCATTACACTGTCGGTGCGCGCTGCGCGGGGCTCGGTGTTGCGGAGCGCCCCGCTGACGGCCTGCTCCATGCTGCTGGGGCTGGCGGACAGGCGGGCCGGCCGGGTGCGGCCATCACCCGACGGGGAATGTGTTCCTTCATAGCTTACGGCGGGGACCGACGGGGACCCCCGCGGGGCACGCGCCGTCCTCCACGACGCCGTCGTCGTGGAGGTAGTCGTCGTCGTATGCGCGCGCGTTTACCAGTCTGGCCAAAATAAATCTCCGGTGCCGTGCGAGAGACAGAGCGCGCCACTACTCGCGGGACCGGCGCGGCCAATTCGAACTTCGGGCCGGCCGAGCCGAACGACCGGCCGCGTCGCCCAGGCCGTCCGTCATGCTGGAGGCTGGAGGCGCGAACACTGTTCCCTCCCTGAATGCCGTGGTCGAAGCAGCGCGGCCATCGGCGCCACCATTTGTAGCTCGTCACCCCGCGAGGGCCCCGCGAGGGCCCCGCGCTGCACCGCCCCGCGCCCTCGGAGGGCACCGCGCCGCATGCGTAATTTATTTGTTGCCGCAGTGCTTGGCGTCGACGGCCACCTCCTCCGGGCCCCGGGTCCCGCACCGCGGGCAGGCCGACTTTCGGTAGCAAGCAAGTCAAGCAGCCAGCATGAACGAGTACTTTTAATTGCCTCCCGGACAGCGCGGCCCGCGCGGCCTGACGCGTGCTTTATTAATGTCCCGTCAAATTGAGCGCGGCGTAATTTAAGCCCGGGAACCAGCCGTGTGTTGGCACGCCGTCGTGCTGCCTGGCTGGCTGGCCGGCCCGCCGCAAGTCAGTTCAATGTGAGTTGTGGCCGCCCCGGGCTGGGCCCCGCCGTGCCGCGGATTTCGTCTTTTATCTCCCAAAGTTGCGCGTATAAAACTGCGGCTGGAACCACTGGAACGCGCGGCGCGGCTCGTATGCACCACCGCGTCGACGGAAGCGCCGGCCCGTCCTGCCGGCGGCCCGTCCTGCCGGCAGTCAGTCGGCCGGTTAGGTCGGCGACGTGAGGGAATCCACAGGGTCAGTGCCGGCCGCCGTCTGCCGGCCGCACCGCCGGCCCGGGAATTTTAAACTTTTCCCGCCGCCCGGCTCGTCTGCGGTCTGAATCCGGCCGGGCCACCGCTATCCGTCTCTCTCGCACGCACGGGGTGCCCCGCAGGCGCGAAAGAGGCAGAGCGACGGAGTGCTGTTTCAGATTGAGCCCACTAGGGGGTTCTTGGTGCTATGTCCACATTGTCTGTGCCAGGGCCCCTCGCGGGGCACGGCGGCCAGGCGGAGCTGGCAGCAGCAGCGCCGCTTCCCGTTCGCCAGCGCGCCAGCCCCGGCCGAAGCTAGAGGCCCCCGCTGCGTTTGATTTATGCCGGACGACGTGTCTCGGAATTTACTTATTTATTACATAATTTGGGACACGATTTCATTAGAATACGCGAGGAGACGCGGCGACCCGCGGCGCGCTCGCGGGCCTGGCCGGGGCGGGGCGGGGTGGAGCGAGGTGGGGTGGCCGGCTGCTAATGAGTGCGCGATCGGCGAGGCCCGCCGCGGAAGCGCGGCTGCCAGCCTGGCTGGCCGGCTGGCTGCCTGGCTGTCTGACCCAGTGGACGCAACGCCCAGGACGCAAATAGATAAGGCAGCGATTTGCTCGCCCAGGCAGACCCAGGCAGGGCCTAAGGCCAACGCGCCCCGAACGGGGCCTCGGGCGTGTCCACAGGTGTGTCGCACAGGTTGTAATAATCGGAACGCCGGACCAAACACTCCCTCCTCTCCTCCCCCCCCCCCCACCTCTCCCTCACACACACCACACACACACACACGCACGCACACACGCACACGCACACACACACACACACACACACACACACCAGCAGCGCGCGACGCCCGGCGTGGCCCCGCGTCGCCCCGGGGAGAAGCCATGCATGAAATAAATCTTGCAACTCATCTAACATGTGCTCGTGCTCTTCTGTTTGTTTTTGTGCCCTGCCGTGCCGCTGGCCGCTGCCGCTGCCCTTCTCCACGGCCGGACCGGACTCCGTCTCTACGGCCTCGTGGACCTCGCCGTGGACCCTCGCCGTGGACCCCTCGTGGACTCCCGGCTGGATTCCTTGACCCCCGTTATCTGCCGGCATCGTCTCTTCAGGGCGTAAGTTCACCTTTTATTATTTATGTGAAATTGTCGTCCCCCGCGGTCCCTGCTGGAAGTCAAGGTGCGGGGCGAGGCGGGGCGTGGCGGGGCCCGCTCGCTGTACCGGCCGGGCCGCTTGGCGCACCGCGCCGCACTTTGCTGCTTTTATTGTTTTTGCTTGCTGCTTTTCGTTGACACAATATTTATGCTCGCGCTGCTCGCTGCGCTCCTCGCGGACCCCTCCTGCTCCGGCAGTCCGGCCGGGCCGGCTCGCCGCCCGCCGCTCGGCCGCCCCGCCGCCCCGGCACTGGCCAGACTTTGTATCACATGCCGGACTTTGATACCGCCGTGTCATCGGCGAGGCGCCCCGCCGTGGCGGCCGGGGTGGGGGTCGCCGTCGACGGCGGGGACGCGACGGCCGGAAACGCGCCGGTGACCTGGCCGTCGTCCGTCGTCCCCCCCGCGCGGCGACAACGCGGCGACAACGCCGCGACGTCGCGGTGACTGACGTTGACGAGGACTCGGTCAGGACGTCAGGTCTGGCCCTGGTCAGCGTCGCAGAGGGCCCCCGGCCGCCCCCGGCTGGACAGCTGTCCGTCAGCGGCGAGGCCCCGGCCCCGGGCCGGCGGGGAGACGAGACAAGTCGTCCGTGGGACCGGAGCGCCGCGACGCCCCCCGCCATCCGACGCCGCGCCGTCACCGCGCGGACCACCGCCGTCGCGACCGCGTTCGGGGCGGTGGAGCGCCGCCACCGGGACTCGAACCCGAACCCGCAAACCCGCGGCCGAGGCCGTTGTCGGTTGTCGGTGGCTTATTGGGCCTGCGGTTTGGCGCGAGGCGCCGCCAGCTGGTTCATTTTTACGGCTGCGTCGAATCTATCGCGTTTGTCTATTGACTCGTAGGGCTTCCACACCAGACCTGCCTCGTCTCTCTCGCACCGCCCGGCTCGCCGTCGGTGCGACGAGGACAGCAGGTGCTCGTCTGCGCGGACCGCAGCGCAGCGCTACAAAAAGCCGCGCCTCGGCCGCAGCGGAGCGGCGCGCGCGCTCCGCCAGATATTAGCCGTTTAATAATGTTATACAATTAAAATGGCTGCGACGTTTATGACCGAGTCACTTTATGTCTTGATTCCGAGTCGCACTGGCGCGTCCCGCCTGCTGCAGTCCTGCTGCAGTCGTTGAAGGGCCAGGGGCTGGCAAGGGACTGGCCGCGGCGGGGAACGCGGCGAAAAAGCGAGACGCGGCGAGACGCGACCTGTTGCGGCATTTGCTTGGCCGCGGCGTGGTTTGGGCGGCGTGCAGCTGGCGGGGCGTGGCGGGGCGTGGCGGGGCGTGGCGGGGCGTGGCGGGGCGTGGCGGGGCGTGGCGCGGTGGGCCCCAGCTGCAGCTGCCGCCCAACAAAAAGGGGGAGGGGGGTAGTCGTCCGGAGCGTCGCGCAGTCTCTCCTCATCACTCATTTGGCCGTGCCAATCGGGCATCGCCGTGGCGGAGGCGTACTCCACGTCGGCGAGGTGTTCGAACGGCTCACAATAATGACGCCGCTGGGGTGCGAGCGAGAGAGAGAGAGAGGGGGGAGAGCGGCGACGGCGGCCCGGGCGGCGCAGGTGAGAGTGAGAGGGCCGCCCGTCACTTAAGTCATTATTCAAATTACGCGCGGGAATTATCTGATGCCCCCAGTGCGATCACCTATCGGAAGACGAAGACGCGGCGGGCTGACGTCGGCCCGGGCCGGTGTGAGGCACACTGTGAGCGCAGCCCGGCGCAGCCAGTGTAGTGGCCATCGGCCAGCCAGCGGCCAGCGAAAGGGGAGGCATTGTTTTGGATTATTAGGTCGGGGCGCCTCGCTGTGCCTGTTTTCGCTGTGTTCCTGGCGGCGATCGGCCGGGCTCCGTGCGGGGCGGTGACGACCTCCTGCCTGGCTGCGTGGCTTTCAGGCTGGCTGGCTTGCTGGCTAATCTCCACTTTTTGTCTAAGAACCTGTTTCGGCGGCAGCGTCGCGGCGCGGCACGCCGTGCTGCCGGTGGTGGCGGCGGCGGGCTACCGCGTTAAGTCATTGCCCCGCGGGTCGCGGCGCAAGCGAGCAATTTTAACAATTATTATCAGGAAAATTTAAAAGTTAAAACGTTTTAATTCGATGGAAAAGAAAAACCAGGCGCGTTGAGACTTTGCTGCTGTCTGTACTGTTTACTTGGCGTTCGTTCTTCGCCGATGAAGTCAAACTGTGAAAGCATTGAACCGCAATTCGAGCTCCTCGCTTTTCTCTGGCGCCTCGCTGCGCGCCGCGGTCGCCATCGCCTTGCTCGGCGTGCCCGTCGTGTCCGTCCTCGCGCACACTTACCGGCCCGACGCCCGACAGTAGTGTCAAAATTTACGTGTAGCGTTTTGCCGTCTATTTGTAATGCTAATTTTATAGGGTGGGAATAAATTAAGCCCCCTTCCGCCGTGCTGGCGCGCTGGCGCCCTCTGTCCTGACCTCTCGCCGAGCGGCAAGCAGCACCTCTTCCCGGGCCGCCCGGCCGTCTTGGTGTCGTCAGGGAGCCGTGGCCAAACGGGTTTTAAATGAATATACATTTTGGGTATAGTTTTGTGCTTCGGCGGAGGCGGGCGTCGCCCGACCGCTATTTAAACATCCTGTGGCCGCGGCGGTGCGGGGCAGGGCGGCGGGGCAGGGCAGAGCGATACGCGCCGATATCATCCTCCCCATTCTATTACGGCCGCCTTTTGGGTTCCCATGCTGGGAATCCGGAGCCACAACAATCGCCACGACGCCGAGACGCGGGTCCGGGGTTCAAACACCCGCGGCGGCGTCGGTTTTGTTGCTTCGTCCGTTTTATTGTGTATCGGTGTCGGCGAGCCAGTTTTACGACGTTCATCGCGTCGGCCGGAATTAATAAAAGCGACGCGGGGAGGGGGAGGGGGAGGACTCTTCCTTTCGCTGGAACCGTTTTCGAAAAGTGCGCGCGTCGATTCGGCCGAGGCAGGGCCGAGGTGCTTCCGGTGGCCGAGCCTGGAGCCTTCCCTGCCTTCGCGCGTCCGTCCGTCAGTCGACCATCATTTTCGATCCGGCCGGTGTGGTGCTGCCGTGACAGCTGCCCCCCTCTCTTTTTTTCCCAAATCGAGCCTGCTCCTCGCAAATTGAGATCTTCTCGCCTCTTCATCGCCTCGCCTCGCACAAAGCCGCCACCTGCGCCGGGACCTGCCGGCCCGGCCGCGCCCCACGCCAACTCCATATACACACTCTGCTGGGCCGATGTAATCGAAAAAGAAAAATAATTTTCCTTTGTTTGTCTTCCTTTGTTCCATGCTCCTGGCTGCTCCCGCTGCTGACCACTCCAGTATGTAAGTATTTCTTCCAGTCTTCCAGTCCTCCTCTGCGCAGTAATGTTGTTTTCATTGGGAAGTCGTTCCCACCTCGGCGCGCCTCGGCGTCTGCAGCGCTCCGTCGCCCCGTCTCTCTCGCACCCTCACGGGACGCCCCTGGCGTGCGAGAGAGACGGGGCGACGACAGCGCGCTCCGTTTGGACGCAGCGCAGCGTCCTTTGGCTGCCTTTGGCACGGACTTGATGAATGCCTGCTTTCCCCCGAAAACACTTTAGGGCACGATAATGAAGGGCTAAAATATGAAGCGCCGTCAGGGGCGCGACGGGGGGACGGAGAGGGACGAGGAGGGACGCGGCGTTAGAGCGAGACAAATGCCGGCGACATCGGAGACCGGGCGGGGCCAAGCCGGGGCCAAGCCGGGGCACACACGTGTCAGGAAGTGTCCCCCGACGGGGCCCTTTGCCTTGCCTTGCCTTCGGCGCCGTGGCCCCGTGGCCCTGGCCCCCACCACCGCGGCCCGCGACCGCCATCGCCATTCAGGGTCAAGTGCGCAGTGCGCGCGCTAGCCGCGCTAGAACGAGGCCATGATTTTGAGTGGTCGGCCGGGAGAGGCCCCCTGGCCGCCCCAGGCCCCCGCCGTGCACTATGGGGTTATGATGGCGGCGCCACGCCCAGCCGCCCCTCTAGTGCCTCATCCTCCCGGACGACGACGACGACGACGGCCCCGCGGTGGGAGACAAATCGACGGGTGACGAGGTACCACGGCCCCACTTTACCGCACTCTACC